TTTTTTTTTTAGCAAGGATGCATTAAATTGATCATAAGTGACAGTAAAGAAGAATTTCACATTGTTACAAAAAATTATATCTAAAATAAATAGTGATCTTTGGAACTTTCTATTCATCGTTAAAGAAAAAAAAAAAACTAAGCAGCACAATGTTTTCAACACTGATAATAAGAAATGTTTCTTAAGCACCAAATCAGCATATTAGAATGATTTCTGAAGGATCATGTGATACTCAACACTGGAGTAATGATGCTGAAAATTTGCCATAACAGGAATAAATTACATTTTAATTTATATTCATATAGAAAACAGTTATTTTAAATAGTAACATTATATCACAGTATTACTGTTTTTGGTGTATTTTTGATCAAATAAATGCAGCCTTGGTGAGCATGAGACCTATTAAAAAAACAAACAAACAAAAAACACTTTTGTATGGTAGTGTATGTCAGCCATATCTAGATACCAGAATATCATACAATTGGGTTATATGATAGACTTTGCTTTCTTCACTTTATTAAAACAACAACAACATAATCAACAACAACAAAACAAGTTCAAACATTGTGCCTAATAATAAAAGTTTATTCATGGTAAAATCACTGTAATGCACTACCACTCGTAGCTTACTGCTTTTTGTAAATATTTCATATTATCTGTAAGAGTCACGCAAAATAATAATTATAATATTTTTAATTATTTTATATATTCCAATAATTATAATATTGGCTTCACATTGTTACATTATTCTACAAATATCTAAAAATATGGTTAAGAATGAAGCCTTTCTGTGTGCATGAGTTGTACACAAATCCAGCTCTACCTTCCTCTGCGGAAAACACTGTTGCAATGCTGCTGAAAGGTCCTTCCCCACGGTTGTTGAACGCTCCCACTTTGACATTGAATGGTGAGAACGGTGGGATGGTGTCATTGCGGAAAACGTAGCGGGTGACGCTGGGCGCCGAGATCACGGCACGGGTCCAAGTGACCAAGCCCACTGACCGAAAAGCGATGATATAACCGAAGCCCTCTCCATTCTGCAACTCCTCTGGAACAGGCTTAGAGTGGAACACAAAACTATAGTGATATTAAAACAAATTGAGGTCAACACACCAACTGACCCACATGACAACGGCTTTATTAGCACTTAGTTTAAAGACCACTTTCTTTCTCAAGTTGTTTTAATTGTTATGTATGCAGTTTTCATGAATTCATATTAGTATAGAGACTAGATGGAACGTTTAAAGGACTTAAAGGGATAGTTCACCCTAAAATGAAAATTCTGTCATTAATTACTCACCCTCATGTCGTTCCAAATCCGTAAGACCTTTGTTCATCTTTGGAACACAAATTAAGATATTTTAACCACTGAAGTCACATGGACTATATTTACCGATGTCCTTACTAAGTTTCTGGGCAATAAAACATTTCAGTTGCGTTGCTGTCTATGCAGGGTCATAAAGCTCTTGGATTTCTTCAAAAATATCTTAATTTGTGTTCCAAAGATGAACGGAGGTCTTACGGGTTTGGAATGACATGAGGTTGAGTAATTAATGATAGAATTTTCATTTTTGGGTGAACTATCCCTTTAAGTTACCTGAAAAAAAGCTAAATGGTGACAAATATGAGGAAAAAAAATAAACAAACTTTCCTCTCATACATACAAGACTACCGTTCAAAAAGTTTGGGGTCTGTAAGATTTTTTTAGGTTTTTGAAAAGTATTTTATGCTCACCAAGGCTGCATTTATATGATCAAAATTCAATAAAAACAGTGATATTGTAAAATATTATTACAACTTAAAATAACTTTTCTACATGATCATTACATGATCCTTCTAGATGTTAAATAAATAATAATAGCTGATCAGATGCTCAAGAAACATTTCTTATTATTATCAATGCTGAAAACAGTTTGAATACTTAATATTTTTGTGGGAAATATGTTTTTTTTTTTAGGATTATTTAAAACTTTTGAACAATCGTGTATGTATTAATTTGAGAACAGCTTTTTTGCTGTTTGTATCACTCTGATTTGGCTGAAACTGCTATTGCGCCACTCTGCTCACTATTGGAATAGGATAGTTACAGAATAGTAGGCAAAAATGGCTCTCCAACATGTGATAGTAGGTTACCTAAAATACACTAAATCACTGCTACAGTTCATAAAAGGCTTTGACAATTTAAATGAAAGCATTTCTGCAGCATTTCATATGAATGTTAGACTTTTCCCTTGCTAAACCCTTATTTCCTCTATGACGTATTGGAACAGAATGAAGCCTATTTGCGGGTGAAATAAACTTCAAAGAAACTCTCTGGCCCTGAGTTAACTTCCATTTGGAGGAGAAGTAGTAAAGCCTGGAGTCCGGAGGCCAGGAGGGAGGGGTCTTGGTACGGGCAACGATCATAAAATGGCTACATTTCATTCTACACAATTAAGCACCGGCATTTAGCCCAGGCTGGCCGAGGGAGCAGTAAAATCTGACAAATGACTTACCTCCCATGTTATCACTAATTCCGATTTGGTACCTCCTCCGCCTCCGACATCAGTGGGAGCCGTGTCAGGCACTGCGGGCAAAAACCCAAAGAAGAGATTAAAACGCCGGCAGAGCTCTGATTGGGATTTTGTCATTGCATGTTTGAGCATCAAAAGTGTATTTCAATTTTCATCACATAAAGACTCTAAACTATCTCTCTCACAGAGGTTCTACCTTCTTTAGAAAATCCCTCAGAAATTTGTGAATAAGAGATTGTGTTTTCGGAATAGGCTTGAGTGTTGCATGTGGAATAAAAATGATGGCTGTGACATATGACGGGAGAATTGAGGATGTATGGTCTGCTCCAGTGCTTTCAATTTCAGTGCCTGTCTGAAATATGGCAAAGAGATTCAATGAAAGCCTCACACTAGCATACTCACTAGCATCTTCTGTTCTGATTTTGGTAGAAGGTGGACTGGGCTCTCCCATCCCGACACTGTTACTGGCCAGCACTCTGAACTCATATTCCACCCAAGCGTTCAAACCCACCACAGTTGCAGTCAGAGTGTTCCCATTGATCGCCTCAGGAACTGAGGATAAGAAGAATAGTAAAATACAACAGAAAGTAATAAAAAAGTTAAAGCACTAAAAGCTTAAGCACTAAAATGAAAAAAATAAAATAAAAACTGAAATAAAATAAAGCTAAATAAAATTAAAAACTATTAAAATGACAAAACACAAAATAAAACAAAATCTTGAACTAAAATTTAAATTAAAAAATAAAAATAATACAGTAGATGATTCAAAATAAAACTGACACGCATAGATAGATAGATAGATAGATAGATATAAAAACCTACAGTAAGTCTAAACATAAATATTATAAATAAATCATAAAATTATGAATAAAACATTTTTATATAGTAACTAAAATTGCATAATAAAAAAAAAAAGTAAAATAGCAAAAAAGAAAATGTAAAATGTTAAATTTGGTTTCCACAAAAATATTAAACAGCCCAACTATTCGCTTTTAAACTATTTTTTAAAATAAAACAATGAAAAATAAAATATAATACTAATAAACTAAATACAATTAAAAACAAATAAAATGACAAAAGCACATAAAATTTAAGAAACTATAAAATTAAAATTACAAATAAAATGAAATTAAACTAATTTAATAGAAATAAATGTCAATAACAAAATAAATAATAAAATGTATAATAAAATAAAATATAAGACTAATAAACTATTTATTAATAAAATAATACAATATTTAGCTTTTTAACTAAGAATGTAAAAAAAAAAGAGTTTAATCTATTAAGTTGGCAGTGCCTCCCATGCACTACCAACTGAATCAAATAGCAAAAAAGTAAATGTAAAATGTTAAATTTGGTTTCCACAAAAATATTAAACAGCCCAACTATTCGCTTTTCAACTATTTTTTAAAATAAAACAATGAAAAATAAAATATAATACTAATAAACTAAATACAATTAAAAACAAATAAAATGACAAAAGCACATAAAATTTAAGAAACTATAAAATTAAAATTACAAATGAAAAAAAGCAAAAGCTATTTCAAAATATTAATAAACTCTATAATAGTATATAAATAAGACTAGATAGATATATAGATAGATACAGTAGATAGAGATATATATATATTAGGAGTGTTTGATTATACTCCACACCTGCTCAAACATTAAATTCGGTCCATGCATTGTGCATACTGATGACTTGGAAACTGTCTCACACTGATAAGAGGACAACTATTTGTTTAGGAGTGTGTGTTCTAAGGTGTTAGACATGGCGAGCGGTTTGTGCTTGTGCATGCTTGTATGAGTTTTAGCAAGGGCAACAAGGTATGCGTGTACGCTTGTATATGCGCAACTAAATGATTTACATTTCTGCTCCAAATAACTCTCTGCCATTTAAATATTTTCTCTCCATTTGCACTGCATTCTGGGGTCCATCATGCTGCTTAGCCGATGTGTAAATGAGCCAATTAAAGACATCCTCTATGATAAACAGCTCCTCTCCAAACACCTGGGACAGAACCGTGATGCGTAATGGCCATGAATACCAATGTCGCTCACAAAAACAGCAGCGAAGACGAGGGCCCATAAACCATCCCAAGTGACACATTTAGCACTCTGTGAACTCTTGCTACATTAGCAGTGCCCTTTCATTGAAATACACACCTCGCAAGACGCTCTTCACTGTGGAAGACGGTTGTAAATACATATAACAATTGGCGCAGAAGGCAAATATTGTGCATGTGCAGGGTTGGGCAAAGATACATCAAAATGTATTTTAAAATAAAATACCAAATACCTTAATTTTAAGTGTATCAAAATAAACTACAAAATACAGCAGCCACACCATGTATCAAAATAAACTTATTTTAAAAATACTAAAAAATACTTTTACAAGGGAGCATGAAATTTCTTCACAAACCTTCCATGATCCATCAATTGGCCTATTTGATCTATCCCTTCACCATTCGTATCTGACTCTGAGTATTCCATACATTTGTCAGTTGTGATGTTAAATTAAGCTTGCAACATGTTGGGAAACTTACAGCTCATATATTATCCTCTCATGCAGTTATAAATGCAGCATTGTGACTGAACCACTTCTACTTCTGCTGCACGAGATGAGAACACATTTTTATAATTTTCTGAGTCATGAAAAAGTCTGCTTTTGTGATATATTTCCTTCTTTCTTTACTGCAAGACGTTTGCTCGGTCTAGATGCGCTTAAATCTGCACTAACGATGCGTTCCTGTCACGTATCACACATGCGCACTCCAATAAGCCGACAGAAAGCGGGTTATTGCATTTACATGCCGTGCAAAATCAGAGTAAGAGGCAAAAAACTACCTGTTGCGACCGGTTTATGCTTATCAAAACCTCTGCCGAGCTGCTGCAGCGTCCGGTGTAAAGGCACTCATTCGTTAACATGCATACCGGGAAAAAAATGCGCACTGCTGCTCTGCTGCAGCGTGCGGTGTATCAGGCGTCATACAAAACACTAAAGTATTTTGATACAAAATACGAAGCCATTTTCATCAACCCTATCAAATACAAATTACAAAATACTATATTGTATTTGAAATACATGTATCATAAATACTGCCCATCCCTGTGCATGTGGACATACAAACCGAAATAAAATTTGGTCCTACCTTTAACAACCAATATTGCGTCAGCAGACAAGCTCTCGACATCTGTGTCGATGAGGCAAACGTATTTCCCACCATGATTAAGCTGGATGTTTCTAATCATAAGATCACCGGAAAAGCTCTGTAAGAAAAGTGAAAATTTCTTTCTTAATTATTAATAATAATTTCTGTTGTTACAGCACAAGACACCAAATCCACTCTTTATTGATAAACAGTAGTTTCTGAAAGAGTGATGCATTATCATTCATAACATATTTCATGAATCAAAACATAACCTCAAGGCATGCTCTGTATTTTTGGCTTGTGCCATGAAATTCTGGCACTATTAAAAAAAAAAAAAAAATGAGAGAACAGGTACTACAAACCAAACAGAATTCAGAGGCTGATTCAGATTTTTTTCTGTTCACATTTAAAAGGTCATGCAAATATATTTTTGCATCTTTCTGTGTAATACTTAATAATGCAATTTAATTACTTAAATTAATTTAACCACACTGAAGGATTGGAGTTGGAAAATTGGAGTTAGAATGACGTCAAACAAACAAACAAAAAAACCAACCAAAAAAAAAACTTCACACTAAAGTTATACCGCCAAAAAACTATGAACTATACTACTAACTAATTAAAATAACATAAAACATAAAAAAAAAAAGTTTTATTTCAGCTAGTTGCCGAGGCACCATTTTTCATTTTTATTTAGTTTAACTTGATGTAATAAATTAACTAAAACTAAAACATAAATATGAAATAAAAATGAATAAAAACTATATAAACATACAAATCCTACTAAAAATGACAAAATCACACAACAAAATCATGAAAACTTTAAAATTAAAATGAGAACAGAAAATATAAAAATAAAGACTGATTCAGAACATTAATAAAAAACTAAAATAGTATCTCATTGATACTTAAATAACACTGGTTTACACAGCCATCCAAAAAAAATAAATAAATAAATAAATAAAAAACCTCTGCGTCACACAAGAGAAATCAGATTTGGGACACTTGCATCTGCAAGTAGCTTGAGTAACAAAGGGCCTGTTTTCAACAGCAATCTGTGTCTTGTATACCATTTTATGATGTAATTAATTATCACCGAAATAAAGCTGAGGCAGGCGTGCTGATGTTCCCTGTCATGCTAGCTGTAGATTTCTGCAAACTCAGACACTCATCCCTCCCTTTAAAATGGCTGCTGTGCTCTGAGATACGTGTGGACCTAAATAAACAGTCTCAGTGACTAGCCTCCGGGATTCACTCAGATCCAGCTCTCTCAGCCACACAGGAGCTCAGTAAAACACACACACACACACACACTGTGGCTAATTGGCAAGATGATACTAATTATTCCACAAGTACATAAGCCAGGACCAGGTAAATGTGCAAAGAATATGCAGAGTGAGAGTTAATATTGTTCCAGATAAGCATACAGCACATTAAAATCATAAAGAATCTGCATTTCTGGTACAGATGTCAAAATATGATCTTTTCATAATTTAAATGAAGACACAGCTAAATATGACACAGCACAGTGTGTGAAAAAGCAAATTAAATGGACTTAATCAGAAAACCCTTAAGGTTCTGTGGTTCTGATTAACTGACATTGACGTTCATTTTCAAACGATCATTTTATCTGAACACTGTCTAAAAATAAACCATTATAAATAATAAAATAAAATAACATTTATTTATACTACTTTTACTATTTTAAAATAAAAAAAAAAAGAAAATAGGTTTGCTGACACAATTTATCTCTGTGCTTCTCCCTGCATGTCTTTTTAAAAAAAGAATGTCCAGAATTTCATACAAGCTGAATCTTGCATATCGCATTGATGCCTCTAGTGCTCTACTAGTCCCAAACCACGGAGCACTACTCTACTGTAATAGTACATGTAAGTATGTAAGCACTCCAAGCTCTCAAAAAAGGCCAGCACTTATGTTTGACTGTGGTTTCCTCTCCATCAAGTTCAATTCCTATGAAAAAATGCCTTAAACTCAATCAATATCAAAAAGAGAGCCCATTCAATGGATAGATTCCAAAATGTCAGGATTGGATGAGAAGACCGAAGAGCGGGTGATGTTTAATTATGGTAATGCACCCATCAGAGGCTGCTGAGATGGAAGGCGTAATCTTTGGGTGCAGAGAAAGTGTGAATCCGTGAAAAACATATCTCATTATAACCTACATCTGCATATGTCAATGTAATTTGTAATAGGCCTTGAGAGAAGCCCCATGTATGAACGTTACATAGCCGCCACCACATGGCAATGAAAGGCAAGGCCTGGCTGTGGGATGGAAGGGACTGAATTAAGATCATGAAAATGGGCTAAAGGGGTTAAAAAACATTATTCGTATTTATTTAATAATAAATAATATTAAAGGGGTAGTTCACCCAAAAATGAAAATTCTGTCATTAATTACTCGTCATTAAACAATTCGTCTCCTCCGCATCACCCTGTAGCGCCATTTTGGAGAGTATCAGCTGGACTAAACAACGTATGCTGTTTAATTATGGTAATGCACCCGTCAGAGGCTGCTGAGATGGAAGGCGTAATCTTTGGGTGCAGAGAAAGTGTGAATCTGTGAAAAACATATCTCATTATAACCTACATCTGCATATGTCAATGTCATTTGTAATAGGCCTTGAGAGAAGCCCCATGTATGAACGTTACATAGCCGCCACCACATGGCAATGAAAGGCAAGGCCTGGCTGTGGGATGGAAGGGACTGAATTAAGATCATGAAAATGGGCTAAAGGGGTTAAAAAACATTATTCGTATTTATTTAATAATAAATAATATTAAACGGGTAGTTCACCCAAAAATGAAAATTCTGTCATTAATTACTCGTCATTAAACAATTCGTCTCCTCCGCATCACCCTGTAGCGCCATTTTCAAAAATCTTAATCTTAATTTGTGTTCCGAAGATGAACGAAGGTCTTAGGGGTTTGAAAGGACATGAGGGTGAGTAATTAATGACATAATTTTCATTTTTGGGTGAACTAACCCTTTAATATGAATGTTTTTATTTTTATACTAGTTTTATAATATATTTAACTTTTTAAATAAATTATAGAAACTAAGTATATAACACATTTTCAGCTGAATTAAATTCAAGAAGCTATGAACTGCCTTGTAAGTGAACCATCTGGTCCTGTGCTTTTCAAAAAGAACCTTAGCCTGTGCTCAGGTTTCAAATCCTTAAAAGAAAATGATCAAAAGATGTTTATTATTCTGTTCAAACCCCTAGCCAACCAAGTGAAAATCTAAACCAAAACAGCAAAATGGAATGTGACACAACACAAAGCGTTTCTCAAAGCAAGATTTCAATTCATTGGAGTCCTGCGGCAATAAGGAATTGTGTCCCCAGAGATGTAAAATGTCCTGTGAAACTGGAAGGGTAAAATGGGAACAAGACTCTTAATTGATCTGGCCTGTTTCCCTAGTTCACTCTGTGGAGAGCAGCCGTTTGGTATACATGTTGAATCATTCACATTCAATGTAGGTCAATGATGGAATGACCCAGAACAAGATGGCAAAATTTATCCCAAGGATCCACTTTCAAACTACAGACATAATGGCAGGCAAGTCTCTTTGAGAGAGAGCATTCAAAGTCCCAATAGCTTGTTCCTGTCCAGCACAATGATTAGATTAAAACCCTGTTACAGTACTTCAAGTGCTTGTGTTTGAGATCTATTCAATAAGATGGACTTTAATACATGCTGGATTCTTTGGTTTGATTCAAATATGAACACAAATAACTAAAACTAATTAATCAGAAACTCCTACTCAAATAAAATAAAACACTCAAACTCATCTTTATATTTGTTAAAAAACTGCAACCTGCATTTTATTGTACAGATTTCTTGTAATTTGTGACAATATTCTACAGTTCTTCTTCAGTTTTTTTTTTTAATGAAAACAATTCTGTTATATTTCTTATTGTCATTTAGTCATTCATTTCAGACCTTTATAATTAAACAGGCTGCTTTTTTGCAGTCATGTTTTCATAAATGATTTGTGAAGGTTAGTTTAACTACACAGTACATACATTTTTTTCAAAACAGCAAGGGAAATCCTGTTTTCCGAGATATGTTTCCAATAATTTTTTCTTGCCCGGAGGTGGTGGTGTGGGATGAGGGTGCTGAGGTTGCAGTATAGCCCTAAAACCACAATACTCACCCCTCCCACTCGCTCGAAGTGGTCGGCGTCTTGATGGAAATCAATGGGCTGACCGTTGAAGGCCCAGAAGAAGGCCACGTCCAAGGCTGGATCGGCAGTCACCTGGCAGGGCAGCACGATGCTCTCACCCACCGTGATCTCTGTGCTGCTGGGGCCCTGCCTGATCCTCGTGGGCTCTGTTAGTTACAGTGTCAACATAGTCTGTCAGTTTAGCTCTAGTACACAAACTGAGGCGAGAGAACATCTTCTGTAGCCAGGCAAATAACAAGACAATCTTATTATTATTTTTTTTTTAAATCTAGTGAGCTGCCTCTGGAGGAAACATTTTAAGGCATGATCCTGACACATGGCTGCACAATTACTTACATTTCACTGCTGGTCATATATTCTCTATATAACCATGTATGTGACAAATAAAAAAAATCTTGAATTATTGTTATTTATAATAATTATAATTCCAAGATTCTATGCAAATAATAAACAAAAAAAAAAGATATTTATAATACAAGGCTTGATAGGATGTCAAATTTTTACAATTAAAAATCAAAAGGATATTTAAAAAGACTAACAAGAAACTGAGGACATGAGGGGAAATTTGTAAAAAAAAAAAAAAAAAAATGCTTATAAAAAAAGAAAATGTGCTTGAAATTTTTCATTTACAAAAAGGAGAAAAAAAAAAAAAAAAAAAGTGTAATAAATTGCCTAATTAGAAATTTTAAAAAATACTGACACCAACATTTTTCAAAAATTAGAAATTAAAATGTTTTTGTGATAAAACCAAACTTCATTCTAAAATAACTGTAACAATGTTTTACTTACATTGCTGTTGTCCTTATGAGCAGTAGGCTGTGGGTTAGCGATTTTACCACAGCCTACGGTGGTTTATTGCTGTAATAAATAATCTTAATTTCTAGGTACTATACTTAGATTTTTGGCTGCTGTCTTTCCATATGGGGACTATTAATTTGAGAACATAACATGGATTTTAATAAGAGCCAAATTAATTGGCAGCATGTCTTCTGTAAGCAGAATACAGTTGACTGAAGACACTTTGTGAGGGAAGGTCATTTTAATTAAATTACATTAAGGGGGTCAACTGCTGGTGCATGACAAAAACATAATGAGAGAAAAATACAAGAAAGAGAAGAAAGAAAAACCCTATAAAAGACGTATGGGCTCACACAGAGGCCTCAGTGGTATATAGCTAATGAGTTTCTTCTGATTTGTCATGAAAATACTGCTGATTAAACCCGTAACCTATATAATGAAGAACAAAAGTGAGGAATAACATTCATCCTATAACTTAATGAGGAGATAACAATCCACACGGATAATGGCCACAGCAATTACGGATGACCTTAACAATGAGTAATTAGTGAAACATGGACTGGGGCGTGTGGAAGACTGAAGCAAGAGGGCACATGAACTACACAGAACACTAGAGAAAAGAATGTTATAATTCCACAATATAAAAGGCTCTCTTAAAGTGACAGTTCACCTAAAAAAGTCGTTCCAAATGTCGTTCCAAATCCTTTTTCTTTTGTGAATCACAAAAGGAGAAATGAATGTTATCAAAATAAACAAGGAAAGGCTACTAAAGCATTATCAGGGTTTGACAATAAGAACATGGACTGGGCATGTACTTATTTTACATTTGATTATTCAATGTCTGTACCTGAATACCTACCTGAAAAACTTAAAGCTCTTTTTTATTTCATTTATGTCTTTGTTCTATTAGGCTAGTAGTTTTTGCTGTGGTATCGAAAGTGGAATCGAGAATTGTGAAATGTCTTTGGTGGCTTACTAATTAGAATATAATGTTACATTGGTCAATACAATGAAAACAAGAATTATTGTTTTATTCTTTTTTTTTAATTAATTAATAAAAATTTTTGTGGCGGGATCAGTGAAAATTTTGGCTGAGCAAGTAAAAAATGTAAACCACTGGCCCATCCGGGTCGGTAGAAAAAATGCTTAGCATTGAACCCTGATTATAAAAGTTTATTAAGGCCGTCATGAGTTGGGAATCAAACGTAACTTGTTGCTAGTGCAATGCTCTACTGGAACTCTACAGGAACGATTCATTTAAGTATCAATTTGTGAATTAATGCTTTTTTTTAATCAATAAATCAATTTATGCGGTTCACAAAACCAAATGATTAATTCACAAATCGTACTGACCTCTTAAGTTCAACTCAATGCCCATTTACCTATTCCGAGTTCGTAGCTCGTTGGAGAGAAAGAATGGTAGTAAGCAAAGACATGCAGACTTGAAATACAACACGATTCACATGGACTACTTGAATGTGGCTGTTTTGTGTCCTTTTCTGAAGTTTTAAAGGTCCAGTCAGCATTCACTGTAATGGCATGAAAAATTAAGAACAGTACATTCTTCATATTTTCTCATTTTGTGTTCCACAGAGGAAAGAAAGTCAAATGAGTTTGAGACAGAAAGTCAAATGAGTCAAATTACAGAATTAACATTTTTGGATGAACTGTTCCTTAAATAGGAGTTTTAAAAAAAGATGTCTTAAAACTTTTAGACATAGAGACTTGATAACAAAAGCCATTTGTCTTGAAATACCAGCACCATTGTGTAGGACTTCTCAGTGTGCTTGATTATATAAAACAAATCTTATGCTTTGTGTTTTTTTGACTTGAAAGGCTGACAGCAGTACAGAAACTTAGAAGAATGGAGTTGTCAGTTGGCTAATACATTTCTTGAAACAGCTGAAGCAATGCATCATGATATGTGCCAGATGTGGCATTTCATTCAGAGCTAATCATGGGTAAACCATCAAGAATGCAGTATCTGAGTCAACAATAAGAGTGGACCGGACTCTGTATTGTAAATAAAGCTGCTATTCAAATAAAACTACTTTAGGACCTAAAGCTAAATGTATGATTATCAAAATAATCCCACGCTATTTTAAGGAAGATGAATCAGCTTTTTCTTTTTACCAAAACAAAGAAATTATGTATTTGTTTGGATAATAAAAAAAGTTTTTTGCAATTTTTTATGGTAATATAGAATAGAAAGGGAGAGTAAATAACGGGGCGAGAGAAAGAGTGGAGAAACTGAATCAGGAAAATGTTGCTAGCCAAATCCGATCCTCAACCTGCACTGAACCACTAATGTTGATCTAGAATGGAAAACACAATGACTTACCTGTGATGATCAGTCTTCCTGTTGTGCTAGCTGTGCCAAACTGGTTTTTAGCGATACATGTGTAACTACCTCCATCTCGCTTAGTTACGTTGGCAATCTTAAGAGTCCCATTGGGGAAGAGAGAAATCCTAAAGGTAATGGATCATTTCTTAGCATCACAAAGAATCACATGGCTTCATTGAGATTAAATATAAAGTCTAAGGCTAAATACCTTTTACTTCTTTGCAGTATCTCAGTCCCTCTTTTCCACAGGCTAATGGCTCTGGGCGAAGCATGTGGCCGGCAATCTAGGCTAACGTCACTACCCGAGCGAGCCTTAAGCACTCGGCTCAAAGGATTCTGGGAGAAGCTGGGAGCAGAGGCTGTAAGAGACAGACAGATTTGGTCCTCAGACTCACACTTAAAGCCTCAATAGAATCTTTGATGAACAGCAATTGACGTTCAAACAGCCTCTGGCAAAAAAAAAGGAAGAAAGCCTTTTAGAAAAGTCTAAAGGACTTAACAAATAGAGCTGTCTGCTTCCACTGGCTTCTTCCAGGCCATTTGTCTTGAGCTAAAACTTACATTTACTGTGCTGTGTCTTCAATAGACGCCATTTATTTGAAACTGGCCTCGTATGCACAATACTGACCAATGTGTTGTGATTAAAATGAATGAATTTCAGCATGCACAGACATAATTTCACAGTCAATATTGGGGAAATATGAGTGTTACAATGGAGCGGATGGTTTCAGTGCTGCCTTGTAATTTGAGCCTGGGCTGTGACTACACAATAAAGTTTTAGCATTCAAATGAAGGATGGCGAGCAGGCAGTGAAAACACAGAGGTCGTACCAAGCACCATCAGTTCGGTGCTAGAATAAATGATGCCGTGCTTGTTCTCCGCCACACACTGATACATCCCGCAATCTGAGAGGTTTAGCGAGGAGATGGAGAGAGCACCGTTTTCTATTTGCACTCGGCCCTGTAGACATAAAAACAAACAATCAAAGTAAAATGGTTGCTATGCGGTTGCTAGGGCATTGCTGGACTGCTTGATTACATGCTTGCTTACTGGCCTGAGTCAAAAGAGACCAGTGGCAAGTTTCTATGATATTCTGGTCGCTAGATATGGATTGGGTCCTTCCTTTAATTAAACTCAATTCAATTCAACTAAAACTACTTGAAATAAAATAAACATTAATTAAAATAAAATAAAATATATAAAATATGAAACTTATTGTAACTAGTTGCCAAGGAAACGTCTTATTTTTATTTAAGTTGATGTATTAAAATGACTATAACTAAAATAAAACTGCATAAAAACTACAAACATATAAAAAAACCCGAAAAAGACAAAAACACACAACAAAATTACTAAAACTTTAACAAAAATTAAAATAAAAAAGCAAAAATAAATTAATTAAAATATTAATGAAAACTGTCATAGTATCTCACTGATACTGAATAATAAATAACACTGCTTCATTGTAAGACTATGGGATTTTATAATCTGTCAGGCAAAAAAATAATAATTCTGATCTATTTTGTTTAAAATATATATATATATATATTTAATAGCTACAAGTGAATTTAGCCATTATAACTTCATTATGTAGATTATGAAAAAAATATATTTTATAATTTGCTAATATTTATTTATTAAATTTATGTTATTAAATTAATTGTGTACTTTAAGTGAGCGGAAGATAACGTCAAAGGTAATCTAAATGTGAAAAAATTGAACCTGAGCAAGAAAAATTAAAAATCCAATATCAGCCAATGTATATCCAGTATTAACCATTAAAAAAACTCATGTCATGTCTCTCAGTATCAACCAATATATTGTGCACTTCTACAATTTTCTCACCAATAATGATTGCTTTAATGAACGAATAATGAACGCGGCTGCACTCTAACACTGAAAGTATGTCGATTTGAATATCTAAGGACGTGTTAAGAGAGGGTGGAGGAGGTTATAAAAGAGAATAAAGAAAAATGCTGACCCTCTGCTCCAATGAACAGAAAAGAAATGTTGAACATAGCAGTGAAATACTAATGGCCAATTCCTTTGGTATGGGTGCCCAGTCGGAAAAGTACGTGAGACAGGTAGGGAGGTGTTGAGCTGATGGTTCTGATAATGGCATAGCAGACATTTAAGCCTATCAGCTGTTCTTAAGGGCTGAACTCGGCACAAAGAGTCACAAGGAGAGATTGACGTGATGTGTGATTGAAGGGTGGGGAGGAGGTACGGGTAGCTCTTGACTTGAATGCAGGTCACATCTAATGGAGTCTTTCTGCTGCCTTATAACTGCTGATGCTTGTTGATGGGAGTTTCTCCTACTTAAACAGCTGTTGGCTTCTTTTTTGCCTCGCTTTTATGTCAGCAATGAGAATTTATGTTTGCACTGACCTTGGACTACAGTAAGTGGAGATAAAGCTTACAGTCTCATTAGAGGCCTTTCAGAAACCGCAGAGTACCTCAGATATAAGAGTTTCTCCATTCTTCAGCCAGCTGTACGAGGGTTTTGGTTTCCCGTTGGCTTTGCACTCCCAAAACAGATTCTCTTCAATGGACAATGATGTGTCCGTCATCGTCTGCAGCCAATGAGGCGTGGCTATGGAAAGAAAGCATATTAATAAATCAAATGGATGAAGGGTCGATGATGGACAGATACAAGAACACACATAAATGAAATGTAACACTTGCATATTTAAACCAGCCATATTACCCCAAGGCTAATGAATTCAAAGGCCTTGATGACAGAAACAATTAAAGTAAAAGTTCACCAAATAATGAAACATCTGTCATCGTTTTCTCACCCTAAAGCCTGTGTTATACTTTCCGCATGAGCAATCCGGACGCGTACACGGACAGTGCGAACGTGGACTGCTTGTATTTATACTACCGAGAGCATACGCTGATGGTCTGCTCCGCGGACGTGTTCCATACATGTACAATAGATCGGCTTGAACAGTAAACAAACATGTGAACAAACAATTGTCCAGAGTTATTGCACATCTGGCTGTATTTATATTGTTTTATCGACGGATTGTAAAGGTTCGAGTAGCAACGGGCTTCTTCACACAGCCTGCGCATATGCAGTTGGTGCTTTTGTAGCCTACTGACCACACGTACTTGTCCGCGCGGTCACAAAAAATGGGAGGCACGCGGATGTCCGCGCAGAGCCTCCGCGCACACTCTCTGATGGCGATTTTTACGTTACGCATACCATAGCGGACCCTAGCGGACTAGCGCGCGTGGAAAGTATAACAGGCTTAAGGGTCATTTCAAACCCGTATGACTTTTCGTCTGTGCAAAAATAAGATGCTAGGCTGTTCCTGGTTGCTCTTTTTACAATAAAAGTTAAAAAAAAAATCTACATATAGCCTACCGTCAAAAGTTTGGGTTTGGTTTGTAAGATTTTATAATGTTTTTGAAAGAAGTCTCTTTCTCTCTTATTTGAAGAAAAAAATACAATAAAACAGCAATATTGTGAAATAGTATTACAATTTAAAATAACGGTGTTCTATTTGATTATATTTTTTAATAATTTATTCCTGTAATGGCAAAGATTAATTTGAAGACTCCATACATATATATATTATATACATATATATATCTATTTCTTCAAAGTTCCATGGTAACAGACTTTTGTAGCAAATCTCAACCCACATTCACCCAAATTGCTCAAATCTCACAGTGTAACCCCTGAACCCCTTCTGATTATTAATCATTATTATCGGAAAAGGCTGCAATATTATAACCACATAAGCCGCTTCACCATCTCCAAATGGCTTGCCATACACTCCCTCGCTTGTCTGTATAATACTGAAAGCATGCCTGACGCTCCTATAAAAACAAACAATAGATGACCCAATTCACAAGAGCCATGTGAATATGAATCTCACTACTGAAGTGAGATGCCTGGTGAATATGTCAATTCTATCGCACTACGGGCACACGCTCCATTCCATGCTACAAATCCTTTGACCTCCTTCTGGAAGCTTTATTATCCTTTCTGCTGGCAAACACTCCACTGCCACGTACAGTGTCTTGAATTCAATTAACAAATTCATATGATTGCATTTCTTCCCACAAATGTTAATTTAAAAGGCCCAGGATAAGACCTACGAATCCTTTAAGACCGACACCAATCCAGTGCTTTTCAAACTGCTTGTTTTTTTGCGGGAAGTCAAATAGTGGAATAGAAAATCTACTTTGGCAGGGCAAGCTCCCTTTTTCATTTATCCTACAGAATTGTATTACAGTTTCACAGCACACAGACGCACAAATTGCATTTAGGCAGTCAGTGCGAATACAGAAAGTCCAAAAAGACTGCTGATTGTGTGTTAGATTTTATTAAGGGTACAAAGGGTATAAAATTATTAATACAACAACGTCATACATTTCAAATTAAGCTTGACTTTTTATGGAATGTCACTGTGACCTTCTACAATGACGTCCTCATTGCAGAAGGTCACAATCACGTGCATCATGAAATGTCATGTCTCTCAAGGACACAAGTCAAATGAGACACTGGTTGTGACATGTTCTCACTGTGAGTTATGACACAAATGGAATGGCGAGGTTGAGTGCAGTTTTACATGGCATAATGACAGTGGAAAAGTGTCATAATGCCACTTGAGGTAGTTTAGAACTTTACAAGCTGCTAAAGAGTCATATCAAACTTACATATACAAATTTTCTTTCTGTCACATGAATATTTCTGATAAATGCTTAACTCTCAAAGGTAAACATTGCTTTAATTACCATATAAAACATACAATAAATTAATATAAATAAATTATTTTAAATAAAGTTGTAAATAATTAAACATTTTTCTTTATTTAAATTGATATTTCTACAGTTGCATCTGCTGCAATCTGTGCTAAAGGGAACTATAATCATTTATTCTGTGTTCATTTTTCTCAACAGATAAAACACAGAACATAATGGTCTTTTTGCATAAATACAATTTACATTCTATAAAACTCCTCCAAATAAATAAATATCTGCAGTAACAACCAATACCACTATCTACTGATTTATTACTGCAGATTCAATGCAGTGCAGAAATGCCATATGGTAACTGTCATGTTTTTTGTTTTGTTTTTCAAATTACTGTAAAGCTTTATGAGACAAAGCTGATCTGTCAAAAAAGGCATCTATTTATACTTATCAAAGAACTAATTCCAGAGGTAGAAGAAATGCATGCATATGTATAACAATAAATTTGTTGACAAGGGTGTTTATGATAAATGTTAAAAGGAAAAAGCTGTAATAAATAAAATATACATAAAAAATAAATTAAATAATAAACTAGAAATTAAGGGTGAAAAAGATCAACTCACCATGGAAAGACAAACGACCCCTCGCTGCATTCTTTCCACGACTGTTTTCCGCTATGCACTCATATGTCCCTGTGTCCTCTTGTTGAAAACTCGGAATCTCCAGAATGGCGTTAGAATTTTTCAGTTTGACTTTGTTTGGGAATGAAACGTCACTGGTTCTTCTCCAGCTGATCTTGGGAACTGGACTGTGAACCCAGAACAAAGCCACCATTAGAACATAGATAAATTAATTTGAAAGACACCTTTATCTAAAGCAAATATACTTTTTTTAACCAGTATGTTTATTCCCTGGGAATCAAATCATTACCTTGGCATTGCTTTTATCCAAAACGACATATATGTGACCCTGGACCACAAGACCAGTCATAAGGGTCAATTTTTCGAAATTGAGATTTATACATCACCTGAAAGCTGAATAAATAAGCTTTCCATTGATGTATGATTTGTGAGGATAGGGCAATATTTGGTCGAGATACAACTATTTGAAAATCTTGAATCTGAGGGTGCAAAAAAATCTAAATACTGAGAAAATCACCTTTAAAGTTGTCCAAATGAAGTTCTTAGCAATGCATATTACTAATCAAAAATTAAGTTTTTATATATTTACAGTAGGAAATTGACAAAATATCTTCATGGAACATGATCTTTACTTAATATCCTAATGATTTTTGGCATAAAAGAAAAATTAATAATTTTGACCCATACAATGTATTTTTGGCTATTGCTACAAATATACCCCAGCGACTTAAGACTGGTTTTGTGGTCCAGGTTCAAATATTGCATTCAAGCTATACATTTAATTATTATGTGAAGGTCTTACTTTTACATTTATGCATTTTGCAGATATTTTATTCAAGGCATTCAAATATTTAATCATACATGCATTCTGTAGGAACCAAATTCATGATCTTGGCGAGGCTACCACCATGTTCTACCAGCTACAGGAACTTTTTCTCACTCACAGAATTCCATCTGTGGAATTATAAGGTTAATCCCAGAATTATGGTTTAACATAATGTTTGGTGAGAGGAAATCAATTTGGCAGAAGCTTTTATCCAAAGTGGCATACACTGCATCAAAGTTATACTATTTATTATTATGTGCAGATCTTGCCTTTACATTTATGCATTGGGCAGACACTTTTAATTCAAAGCATTCAATGTATTTTATTAATCATGCATGCATTCCCTTGGAACCAAATTCATAACCTTGGCATTGCTAGCACCATATTTTACCAGCTACAACTTTTTTTCATTCACACAATTCCATTTGAGGAATTACAGGGTCAAAATGATAGTTTAATGTTTTATGTTTGGAAAGATGAAATCAGTTTGGCAGTTGCTTTTATGTAAAGTGACATACATTGCATTCAAGCTATGCATTTTATTGTGCAATGCAATTATTACCAGTATGTAAGTTTAGGGTTAGTATTTTTTTTTAATATAAAAAATGATCAAATACATGCAGCTTAGGAGCATAAGAGACTTAGTAACGTTAAACAATCTTATTGACCCCAAACCTTTATGGTAGAAGTGATTTAATCTGCATCTAACTTAAGCATTTTGATCTGTTCATGTATTTCCTAGGACTCAAATCCATGACGCACCATCCTGGCGTTGATAGCATCATGCTCTACCAGCTACAGCAACTTTGTCTGAGGAAGTGAAATTCCATAATGTTTGGCAAAAGAAAATCCATTTCCCCCTCATTTCTTCAAAGCTCTACCCTATTAAGAAAATCTGAGTTTGAATGGATCTGATTCATGTTTGGATCCGGGGCGACGCACTCCTTGTATGTTGTGAAAAGCTATCATCTCCTATCACTTTTGAAAGCTATCATTTTTGAAAACCTGCATTACCCCCTTTCTAAACGACAACCCTTCTGCTCTTCATTTGAAAAGAAGCTTGCAGCTCTATTTCCACACTATTTAAGGAGTAAATTTTGCGGGTCATTGCCCTCTGCAAAGCGGGCCATTATGGTGAAAAGCTCTCTCTAAAAAAGCTTCCGTGACAGATTGCAAATCGCATTAAGAATGAACCTGAAGTGCTGATCACAAATTTGGTGTATTTTATAAAGCAAGATAAATAACGCAAGTGTGTGAACTCAGGCAACAGTTTGCGGGCAGAGAACGCAGACAGACGCAGATGTGTGCATGCTGGACTTACTTTCCCAGGGCGAAGCATTCTAGCTTCAGTGTGGATCCTTTAGCAGCTGGAATGGTGTCGGGGAAATGAAGCTCTATTTTGGGCTCGTACTCTCCCATCACTCCTGCCATGGGCAGACAATACAGCACAGATGCATATGGCTTTGTCATTCATGATTTATGATATACAAGCTTTGTACTCCAGAATACAAGCAAAACAACAACAAATGGCAAAACACAAAGCCCTGTCAATGAGCAGGGGAGCTGAGAAGATTGTGCCAAAAATACAGAGACATGTTATTAAAGATTTATGGAAGACACATAATAAAAACCGGATCCATCTCAAATGGAAATGTGGCCTCCTTTGAAGCATTGTCAAGGATGCAGGTTAGTGTTCTTAAAAGAGGCAGTTTAGCTTTCAAGACAGTGGCATAAATGCACCTCTGACATTTACGGATGAACATCTCCCTAAAAATGTCACAAGCTTCTTGGACCCAAGTGAGATATACTGTTAAAAATATGTGAAATCTATTTTAAACGCCAAAAACAACAACAAAAAAGAAGCTCTGGTTGCCAGAACTTTACCATAAAAAAAATATGCTGCCATTTTTTATCAAACATGTTTCCAAGTTCTACAGATTGAGCTTACATTTACAGTTAAAAACATATTTCATTAACTAAAAAGGTTAAATATAATGGTAAATGCTAAAATATGTTTTTAACCTTTATAATATACACACATTGAATTCTGGGAATGTCAATTCATGTTTTTTCACTGTAAGATGATTTGTTAATTTTCACTTTCAAAAACTGTAAATTTAACAGTATGTTACTGTAAAATTACACGAAATATCCCATTAGATCATTACAGTTTTTCACTGTATAGAGGTCTGTTCACACCAATAATAAACGTTTACTATAAAGATAACTATAATGAGAACTATATTAGCGTCCACACCAATGCACGATAACATTGTTTATTATGAGCACATGCTGCAGTTTTGTCACCTGCCAGTTTAAATGTTCTAAATTTTCACAAAAAAATAAATTTAATAAAATTCTGATCGGATGTTAATGTTTTTTGAAAGTGATTCCAACAATATGGTTCCTCTGTGCTGCTCCTGTTATAGTTGTTGTAGTTTATTGTATTAAATTTATAACGATTTTAAAACTTTATCTTTATTGTTATCGTCCTTGGTGTTAATGGGGCTTAAAAAGAACATATAGTTTTTATCATAGCATTTTTATAATCTATTACCATTAAAATTCTGATTCTTTTTTTACAGTGTATATATTGCACCTAAACCGTACAGTATTTGACAGACACCTCTCTTACCGTCATTTCTCAGCACTAAAGGAGTTGGCGAACTGAACACCCTCTCCTTGGTAATAGTGTTATTAACCACACAGGTGTAATTCCCAACATCGGACGGTTCCACTTTAGCTATATAGAGATTCCCCGTCTCTTGGGATACAAAGCGCCGGCTGTCTTGCTGGACGAAGTGAGGGTACTCACTGAAGACCCAGGTGAATGTGAGCTCTAGAAAGATGTCAAAAACAGAGCATTAGATCCTGACACAGACATTTATACTTTCAGAAAGGTGTTGAGTCACTTTGTTCAGCAGACTATAATGTCGGCTCAAAAGCGCATACAAAGTGTCTGTGTTACACCACTCGCTTCGCCTTGGGCTGACCTCCTTATGGCAGGTAAGGCTCAGTAAACAGAGCGACTCTTCCTTTGTGATGCAGCAGGAAAAGGAGCCAAACAAACTAGATTAAAGTGCCTCACTTGCACTCTTATTGCACATGCCCTGTCCGGCTTCACCGTGGCTGGGGACGAAGGCTTCTCTGCTGGCGTCATTCATGCATGGCTGGCTCTTACTGGAAAGGGCTGAACCAGAGAAGACCAAAGGCCCTGCCACAGTGCATTAGCGTGTCATCTACAGGAGACTGAGAGGGGGAAGGGAACGGGAAAGAGTGGCTCGTGTACATGATGCAACTGTTGGAAAGGTGTATGGGATGGCTGCCACTTAAAAAGTGTCCCCCGAGACTACGCCACCCATCCTAAGAAGGGGAAACACGCTGGCAGGCTGGCTGTCGTGAAGCTGAAAGCAATTCTTTATGATCAGGTTGGCCCGGGAATCCCTGCTTCAGAGTTCTGTTAGCTTAATAAGAAGCGATAGCGCTGAAGGTAGAGGAATTGAAAAGATAGAAATTGCAATGGTTACTGAAACATGCTGTTCAGAACTACAATGGGGGATCTGCGTTTTTATGAGGGTGTCTGATGTTAGAGACCTCCACTGAGAAAAACGGGGCAATCATGGGTTATATGACACGATCTCTGTATTGTGATATACAATATCAGAGCCATCTATGCTCTATTCCGGCATTTTAAGGAAGTGAGGCATAATAGAAATGCTGGAAAAATTGCCAACAGCTGGAAAATAATGACAGACAAGGTCAAATTCAAGAGATACTTGTTCTGAATGTACTAGATGTGCCACCATTCAGTCTTTTCATTCAATATATCCACGTCTATACATGTAATTCATAGAATTCAACAACAGAAAAAGGCACACAATTGAAAAGGCACATTGAAAATGTATTTTAAAAAATGTATCAAAAATACATTTATTTAATCATCTGAAATCATTCAGAAATCATTCTATTATGCAGATTTTTAATCAATGTTGAAGAAGGTTGTGCTACTTAAACTTTTTTGTGGAAACTGTGATACTTTTTTTTCAGGATTATTTAATGAATAAAAAGTTCTTTAAAAACAGCATTTGTTTTGTAACATTATAAATGTCATTACTGTCATTTTTAATCAATTTAACGATTCTTTTCTGAATAAAACAATAAAAAAATTAAATAATAATAAATCTTACTGACCCCAAACATTTGAACTGTAGTGTATAATGGATTTTAGCAGATGTAGAGCAGAGAATCAATTTGATCTCATACTATTTTTCAATAGAGAACATAGCGTTATCCTTGAAAAAAATGTTTTGAATATTACTAGTGTAGAACAATATAGCTTAGTCTACTATGATAAAACAGGTTGGTAATAATAACCAATTTGTTTTTTTAGTTCAGCAATCTCAATAGACAGCTAGATCATGGGTACTTTGATAAAGCTTTTTTATCTAGCAGGAAACTGCAAAAGTGGAGCAGAGAAAACTTGCTTTTAAAACATTTGATCACATGCTATTTTGCCAAAATGAACATTCAGCATTGCTCTGGGGGAAAAATAGTTGAGATGTTGCAAATATTACTAGTGTAAAACAATACAGCGTCTTCCACAATGATAAAACAGTTTGGTAATAATAACCCCATTGTCTTTTGAGTTCAATATGCAGCCTAAATCTAAATAGATAAAGAGCAACTACTGTATATTGTAATACTTAAACTTATGCACAGCAAAAAGTTTTATAATAGAATCAGTTGAAAATTTGCAAAGCTTAGCATTCTTGTTTGCATTTTGCAGCGATAAACAATTGATTAACTACTCTGCACAGAAGATGCATTTGTCAAAAAAAAAAAAAACATGTTTCTCATCTAATTGGGTTGAGAATTCAATTTCAGGTCTTTATTTCCATTTGCCTCCAGATTCAGGTCTGATTGAAAAGAAAGTGATGCAAACAAGAAAACAAATTGAAGCCAAAGAATCAATGGCAGGATCTGCGATCCATAGTAAATGAGTTTCTTTAGAAGGTCTAATGCTAACCAGCATTTCTGCCTTTTCCAGCACTTTTGAATGATTTATTTCTGGCTTTTTAGTCATAGTTAGGCAATGTTTTCAATTGCTTGTGACATTAAAGCCAAACATAAGAATATTCTCACATGAAACTCTCCTCTTCTGGGTTCTCTAATAAAACAAATGCTTAATTACAGATTTATCTCAGCAAACTATAATTGCCAAGCCTATGAAACCAATTCACATCTTCTAAATTCTGACATCTCATTTGTCGCCGTAATAGTCACGACCTCTAATTGATATTGATGTCTCTCACTGCCTGGTTCTTGTTTGCACTTGGGGTCTAATGACTTCCGTCCAATTACAGCTGGTTGAATTACAACCTCAGTCTTGTGTAAGGATAGGCGCTGTATGCTTAAGAGAAGCACAATTAACATGCATGCACTTCCGCCACTTCTGGTTCCAGCTTGTGAAACAGCATTGGAGTGTGAATTTCTACTGACCTTTATCACACTTCTCAAACAGTAGAGTAAAAAAAGCCTGTATCAATGGAGGCAACAAGAAACAATGTTGTTGTATTTTATTTACAACTTTTCACAAACAGTTCATCTAAAAAAGCCCTACCGCCGTTTCATATAATTTTCTAGGGATGACGAAACAAGAAAAAATGGTTTCATGTCATTCAATGGGATGAAAGTAAGCAATTTAAGGATTTAAGAGCAAGTACATATGTGTGTAGGCAGCACTTCACAGATTCTGACTGCTTTTATTCAAGTCGAAAGTGAATTGCTGTTTGCAACCCATTTTACTTCCATAATTTGACATTGTGAAGCAGGATAATAAACAAGAAAAATAAAGTAGGGCAGGACTTTTATCCATTGGAAATTCATAGTTGACCTGGCGGGCAAAACATCCATAGAACTGTAGCACAAGCCCGTCAATTTTCTATCTATTCCAATCCAAAAAAATATTTAGATCACCTCTCAAAAGAATAAAACAAAGATATGTGAACAAAATGCAAGTTTTGGCCATTAGCAATCCATATAAAGCACCAGCCGCAATATTTCAATCACTAAAAACAGCGGGACATTCTAAAACGTTTAATGTGAAAACACTTAAAGGTGACATATCATGAAAATCTGACTTTTACACGTTTTAAGTGCTATAATCAGGTCCCCGGTGCATCTACCAACCAAGGAAACGTGAAAAAGATTAACCCAGTAACTTTGTTTTGGGAAGCCTTTTTCTGCAAGCGTCTGAGAAAACGAGCGCGTCTGATTTCGCTCCCTTGGTGACGTGGCAAAGGGATCTCATTATAATATTACCGCCCCTTAATCTGTAAATTTCCACCCACGTCATTTGATTTCGCAAGCGACAACGGTGTAGAACGCAATGCGCTAAATGGTAAAGTGTTTTCTTTATAATGTTATAATGTTTGGGAAAACATTTAATATTAAACTTTGCGCATTGCATTTATATTCTGAGTTCATTTGCTTCCCTGTACAATGTATGCATCATCAATAAGGTGTATACTGAATCTGGCCTTTAAATATCACTGTCTTACTACATTACTACTTAATGCAAACCTCGTAAAAATAACTGGCGGTCAGTGGAGAAAAGCCTTGTTTGCCCTCCATGTGGGTGTTCCTGTAAGGGTGTGACATCACATGAAAACTATGAACTGATTGGATGGTGGAAAGTGGGTGTCCCACACCAGAATGTAGCCCGACTGAATGACTGAATTAGATTATTGGTCATTATCCAGTAACTTGTCTGACCCAGTGATATTAAAATGAAACTATTCCAAATAACTTTTCAGTAATTGATATCAAGCTGAAATAAAATGATATATAAAAATTAGTTGAAAAAAATGTATTAACATTACTAAAAATAAAAAGCTTTATAGAACTAATAAAAATAAAATCAGATAACACAATAACTAAAACTTAAATTAAATATAAAATAAAAGCTGAAAATATAAAATATATGCTTGCAAATATTACTAAATAAATATAATGGTATATAAATAATACTAAAATAACACTGCTGCTGCATAACTGATGTCAAATGAAAAGCAATGCCATTAAAGAGTAAGAGCATTTCAAATATGAAGACAAATGTTTTGTTTGACTAACCAATGAAACATTTACAGTATATAAGACAAATTTAAATGGCAAGATATACAGACTCACCTCCAGAATGCAAAGGTGTGCCACATAGCAAAACAACCCCTTGGCCTTCCCTCACATTCACAGCACTTCTTGTCTGCATTTTGAAGTTTTCCAGATCTGTAACAGATTAAACATGGAATGAAATACATTTGCATGCATAATGAAAACAGCATTTCATAGTATAGCAAAACAAATAGAGACGAAACATCGACTGCAATCATTTAGTAGAGCTCAATATTTGAGAAAGCAAAAAGAAGGAAACCGAATCAGTGATTGAGAATAATCCAAAGCATACAGTGGGTGTCTAACAATGCAGTCTAGTGAAACACTATGAGGGTGTATGAAAAAAGGGATGCTAACATCACATCCACCTACCAGCAGTAAGCCGCATCATTACCAGAGATATCTTAATCTCACCCACTGAGTCAGTATAGCTTCCCTGTCAATACATGTCCACACGATACATCCTCACAAATTAACAGGAGGAGAGGAAGTTGGCAGCCGGCTCATATACCTGGCATGATAAAACCCTTCTCCTTGTTTCGTGACAGAGAAGGCCTTCTGTAACCATAGCCTGCTGTGCCAATTCCACACCCTTAAGCAAACAAGCCAAGAGCCAGGCTCCCCAACACATACAATATAGAGTCAATGTGACCAATAAGACAAATTACAGAGTAAGGAAAAACAGAAAAACAAAAGAAGCAGAAGAAAACATCAGGGCTAGGGAGAGGTGGTGGAAAACAGTGGGAAAGATTAATGAGAGGTTCCCCGCTGACCGAAAAGAAGTCCCACACAGCCGGGTTGTACTGAGCTGTGGTGGAAGTGGAAAGAGCAGGACTCGCTCGGCTCATAGTAACAGAATGAATGGATTAAGAGCCACGGGCGCTGATTAATGGTCTCTTGTGTTAAAATCTATAAGGCTGGACTCACGTGGTGGCTGTAGACTGTGCGGTAAGCCAAACATCTTCACAGTGAATGGCGTTGCTTCATAAATGTCAAACATTCATATCTGGATGTGAAGGTCGATGAGTTAAGTGCTTATGGATTCATTTCCAAAACTCTTATTGATTCTTTCTTCATATGAGATGGTGGAACATTCAACTTCACGGTCCTGTTCAATTAAACACTCAAAGCTTGGCATACATAAGGTTTATTTAATGTTTTATTTTATAAGTTAATAAAAAGTAAAGCAGAAATTAAAAAATTAAACGTTTTATGAAAATTGAAATCCTAAAAAACTAAAAAAAAAAAAATTTTTCACACATAAATTATTTAAAATAAAATAAAAACATCCACAAAATAATTTTTGATTTTAAAATATGGTTTGTTATTAAACTTTAAACCTTTACAAACATATTGACCATTAAAAAGGCCTCTAGATAGCAAAAACACTTGTATATAAAATATAGAACTTTAATATTGTTATTTAATGTTGTTAATGCTTTAAATGATACCAGGCAGCACATTAACTTCTGCAGTCCTACTAAAACTAAAATAAGCTGACTAAATGAAGCTACAAAAAAAAAGTAATAAAAAAAAATTAAAAAGTAACTAAATAAACTAAATGATGAAATCTGAAAACTAACAGAAACTACACTAAATTAAAAGGCAAACAACAAAAAAAAAAAATTTAAAAAAAATTAAAACTATAATAACCATGTGGTTGCTAAACTGTTCTAAGTGGTAATATACAAAAACTCAAATTAAACATACTTGTGATCACCCAATCACAATTTTATTTTTATATAGGGTCTACTGGTTACATATCTGAATAGGCTTTGAATTCTAGGGAGCTTGTGTGAGCCACAGTTTGTCAGGTCACAAATCTGCTCTGCTGCTATTGCACCCTTGAGAAAGGTACTCATTCCAAACTCGCCCCAGGAGAGGATTACACCAATACACAGCCAATAGAAAGCCACCATGGAATAAATCTCCCAATGACAATTTTTACAGTTAAGCATGTATTTCAAACTGGCTTGCAAACGCATGATGCAGTTTTCAACAGCTGTCTGAAAGATAAGAAATGCCACAATGACATATTATCAAAGCCAGCGGCATTATCATCCTATTAAAATCATAATTCTCCTTTGACTAACCAATGATCAATACAGGAAATAAATGTCAAGCAAGTCCTGTTAACCAGTCCCCTGAAGTGAGATTCATTATCCCACCCATAAAGATGGGAATCTGTCTCCTAAGGGGCTGTGGGATGCTCTGAGTATTCCCATGGTTGGATCAATAGTTAGATAGCATGAGAGTGAAGAGTCTTCACTGTCAGACAAAAGGCCAGGCGTGTTCTCATTTCAAACAATCCTTCTCCCAACTGATTTGAGCTTCTAATTTCTGAAGAGGCCAGGTGGCTATGGCTATTCTCATACTTGGCAGTTTACTTTGTGAAGCAGACAGCACAGATATTAATATGGCGAGTCAATACACAGCATACAAAGATGCTGTTGAAGCTGGTGACTAATGAGAATGAGTGATGGAGTTTGAAGTTGATGAAATGGTGCTTCACCCGGTGAAATTGTCACATTTGACAGCTTGTTTGATTGCTCTTTCTTCAGCAATGCCATGTGAATACCAAACACCAAAGCTGGTGCTTTTACAATATCGCTTATATTCAGTCAAACGCTCCTCCAGTTTGCCACTGTTTGGACAAATCGTACCCCAAACTCAATGGTATTGGTTGAGCTAATGTTGCTATGTTGGATTTAAAGGGGTCATATGATGCGATTTCAATTTTTCCTTTCTCTTTGGAGTGTTACAAGCTCTTGGTGCATAAAGAAGATCTGTAAAGTTGCAAAGACGTCATATCATGTCGTGGAGACACTGTGTGTTTCGTTGTGAAAGCGAAACTACTTTCTTTGGCCTTCCAAAAGAGGACGATATCCGCTTCGTCATGCCGGAAGCTGATCCGTGCTGGTCGCTGAGGAAATACAGCAACTTCGTGCTGTGAATCGCCAGATCAGCTTTCACCGTGGACGAAGCCGAGTCCAGTCCGGGGTCGTCACATGTGGTTGCCTAATGTTCTTTTTAGCAACATCATATGACCCCTTTAAATATTTCAGTAAGACTTATATGCTCACTAAGGCTGCATTTATTTGATCAAAATACAGTAAAAACAGTAATATTGTGAAATATTCTTGAAATTTATGATGTATGTAAGTGTAATTTAAAATAACTGTTTCATATTTTAATATATTTTAAAATGCAATTTTTCTTTTGATGTATAACTGAATTTTCAGCAGCCATTACTCCAGTCTTCGTCACATGGTCACTGAAATCATTCTAATATGCTGATTTGGTGCTCAAGAAACATTTCTTATTACTATAAATATTGACAGTTATAGTATATTTATAGTATGCAGTATATATTTGAGGAAACTGTGATATATGTTTTTTTTCAGGATTCTTTGATAAACAAAAAGTTCAAAAGAACAGTATTTATTTTAAATAGAAATCTTCTGTATCAATGTAAAAGTTTTTTTTTATCACTTTTGATCAATTTATTGCATCCTTGCTGAATTTCTTTAAAACAATTACTGACACCAATCTTTTGAATAGTACTGTGTGCATATATAGTAATTTATTATTTAATAATTATAATTTATATAATAATATATTAATCATAATTTATTTAATCTCTTTCATATAAGTGGCTTTGGGAAAAGCATCAAATACATACTGTACATTGACAAATTGACCGAAAACCCTAATTTTAACAACGAAAAATGACACACAGCATCTTTAAAAATGAATACTTTCACATAACTTACATGCAAACTGTAGTGTGGCTCTCTGGCTGAGAATGGTTCCCTGGGCATTGGAGGCAGTGCACTGGTAGACACCGCTGTCTTGGTCCCGATCCAGGCCAGTAATGATCAGGTTACCCCCAGACAGGCGACGCCTCTCGTCACCATGAAGATCAATGAGCGTTCCGTTTAGAGACCATCTGGAGAGACGCAAACACAATCAGGAGTGTGGTCTCCAGAGAAACTAACTCACCAATATTCATCACATGCATCGATCTGATGAAGCCTGCTTCATTATACAGCCAGATTCAGCATGAAACAAAGCTCACTGCTGACATTTGTTTTCCTTCTTTGTACTTCTGCAGTACAATCTGACTAATAACCGATGAAAGCAAGCAAAACAGTGCTGAAGAATACGAAAAATCAAATTATTTATTGACCTTGAAGATGTGCAATGTTTAGTCGTGAGTAGGTTGGTTTTAGTTTCCAATGATCAAATTGCTATGAAAAACTATGAAAGGTTCATTATTTTTCAATGTGACTTCAATTATTTAGCTACACTTACATGTGGAATATTTTTAAAAAATCAACATGGCGTGTGAAAAAATAGAGCAAATTAAACAGCAACTCGGACTGCTTGACAAAAATAATGTGATATCTCAAGATTTATTCAGAATGTAATAATCTGCTGGTTGCTAAAGAATTTTTCAAAATTTAATTTTACAAACAAAATTTTTGAACTTAACATTAAACCAATGTGGCATCTGCAAACCAAACGATGCAAGAACTTTTCTCAGAATCTTGTTCTTTATAATTTTTGTGGTTACTTTTATCCAACTTATCCTTTAGTGTGTGTGTGTGTTATTACTATAAATATTGACAGTTATAGTATATTTATAGTATGCAGTATATATTTGAGGAAACTGTGATATATGTTTTTTTTCAGGATTCTTTGATAAACAAAAAGTTCAAAAGAACAGTATTTATTTTAAATAGAAATCTTCTGTATCAATGTAAAAGTTTTTTTTTATCACTTTTGATCAATTTATTGCATCCTTGCTGAATTTCTTTAAAACAATTACTGACACCAATCTTTTGAATAGTACTGTGTGCATATATAGTAATTTATTATTTAATAATTATAATTTATATAATAATATATTAATCATAATTTATTTAATCTCTTTCATATAAGTGGCTTTGGGAAAAGCATCAAATACATACTGTACATTGACAAATTGACCGAAAACCCTAATTTTAACAACGAAAAATGACACACAGCATCTTTAAAAATGAATACTTTCACATAACTTACATGCAAACTGTAGTGTGGCTCTCTGGCTGAGAATGGTTCCCTGGGCATTGGAGGCAGTGCACTGGTAGACACCGCTGTCTTGGTCCCGATCCAGGCCAGTAATGATCAGGTTACCCCCAGACAGGCGACGCCTCTCGTCACCATGAAGATCAATGAGCGTTCCGTTTAGAGACCATCTGGAGAGACGCAAACACAATCAGGACTGTGGTCTCCAGAGAAGCTAACTCACCAATATTCATCACATGCATCGATCTGATGAAGCTTGCTTCATTATACAGCCAGATTCAACATGAAACAAAGCTCATTGCTGACATTTGTTTTCCTTCTTTGTTCTTCTGCAGTACAGTCTGCAGACTAATAACTGATGAAAGAAAGCAAACAGTGCTTAAGAATAAGAATTAACTCATTATTTATTGACCTTGAAGATGTGCAATGTTTAGTCGTGAGTAGGTTGGTTTTAGTTTCCAATGATCAAATTGCTATGAAAAACTATGAAAGGTTCATTATTTTTCAATGTGACTTCAATTATTTAGCTACACTTACATGTGGAATATTTTTAAAAAATCAACATGGCGTGTGAAAAAATAGAGCAAATTAAACAGCAACTCGGACTGCTTGACAAAAATAATGTGATATCTCAAGATTTATTCAGAATGTAATAATCTGCTGGTTGCTAAAGAATTTTTCAAAATTTAATTTTACAAACAAAATTTTTGAACTTAACATTAAACCAATGTGGCATCTGCAAACCAAACGATGCAAGAACTTTTCTCAGAATCTTGTTCTTTATAATTTTTGTGGTTACTTTTATCCAACTTATCCTTTAGTGTGTGTGTGTGTGTGTGTGTGTGTGTGTGTGTGTGTTTTACCTCGAGTTTAAGAGTAACCACATGTGAAGTTCGTCATATTCACTAAGGACATGTTCCAACAACATACAGCAAAAGCATCCAAATACTGTTTATGTATGTTGAAGGGTGAAAAAAATATTTTTGTAAAAATGTTTAATTGAAGAGCTTGTGCTGTCTTACTTTAAAATAAATGGCAATTGGTTTAATATTTTGTTATGTAATGCAATAACATTCCTCCTAATTTGCGGGTTTATTATTCTTGCTGATGCTATTACAAAGTAGGAAAATTATATTATAAAAGTGGAATGTTTCCCATCAGAAAACCAGCTTAATCAATAACTGTAATCATAAAATGAATGCCAACTTCTGTAACAGGGAAAAATGCATCAACTCAGACCTTTTCACATCATTAGATATCTAGCACTCAACTATTCAGAACTGACCTTAAAAATCATCCTGAGTTGTGCTGAATCAGGCATTTGAGAGTGAAAACTTGGCAGAAAACCTTTGGAATGATGGAAACAATGGGGAAATAAAGGTGTTGGCAGGATCTACATTATTCCACAATGGTGTAAAAAACTAATGAGTGGGGTGGACAATGCGGTTTTAAAAAGTAACTGGAGACTCTAATCTCGCCTAAATCTGACAGACAACAAAGTGTAGATTTACTGCAGCTCTCCAAAGCCCATTTCTGCTGCATTATTTATTGATCTCAGTGTGGCAGTCGAGTTAATCTAACTCCTTTAGTCATCATTTGTGAGTCTAATATCATAGCCACTGTATTTGATATCATTTACTGTGACATTCGGCCTGCAGGCTTACACAATTGATTACTGCGAGGCTGTTTGTTGTAAATACAGACAATATTTGTGTTCTCACAAAGTAGTCAAGTATAATATTATAGCATCAAACTAATCTAGTTTTCTAATACACTTTCAATAGCGTGATGAATCAACAAAGCTCCTGCATCCCACATAAAGTGGGCCCCTCTGTGAATAAAATGAATGAAATAACCAGTGTGTTATCCTGAAAGGATCTAATATCATCTGTGTTGGTACATATACCCCTGCACAAAATAATGTTGTCATCTACTTCTTAGTGTAGACTAGCCATTCTCCAACAACTTTGATTAAATCAGAACATCCACAGACCACCTAAACACAACAATAGTTCTTCCAATTTTTATGAAAACTGAATATCTGTGATTTCAAGCTTGAGAAATTTGGTCACTATAATGCCATATTTCAATTATTATAAATATTTCTGTAGGTAAGATGAATCATGATGCTGTAAGACACGTCATTTGTTGCTTGAGCTGCCAATGCAGATATATGGAAGAACTCTACAGGAGTAGCATCTGAAAAACACATTATGCAACAATATTAACATTTATAAATGATTATAATACAATTGCATGTGTTGTTAATATGCATATTTTGCACACAACATAAGTGGTATAGTCTTGACTATGTTTAATTTCCTCAGCTATATTTATTTATTTATTTTTTTCAGTTTAGACTAGAAAATTAAATATATCTCAGAACTCAGAGGCTAGCTGCTTCTGATGGATCAATAGCCTTAGAATAATATGGAAATAGGAAATATTGATTTCTACCACATGTGCTGAGATGCTGTATGAGTATTCAGGGGGAAAATAATTTCATGCTAATTAAAATATCATGCCCTCTACCACCCTCTCTTCCCCCTTCTCTTTATGTTAAGTGAATGTCATATTTTTCAAAAGTGCTACTCATTTTATTAACTATAAACTTTTAATGAGGGGAAAAATACTTAGTGCAACTTTACTATGAAACAAAATAGACGCAATGTAACACAAGTAGCAACAGATCTTTTTTCTGCATTGTAACGTGTATCTGAGTGAAATGGTTTGTTAAAAACGAAAAATATATATGGCAGGGACTTGGTTCAGTCCATTAGTTGTTGACTGGATGGAGGCAGAGCTGAATTTGTAAGAAAGGGGCGGGGTATATGCAGACAAAATAGTCCAGTATACATCACCAGAGAGAAGTCTGTTGTTTCACAAATTAACTTTGATTACAAATTACAAGGTCATTTTTTATGTGCATATGAATGGATGAATCATTCACAATAAGATCAATAACATGCATTTAAATACAACAGCTTGATACTGGGGCAGTACTCTCAAAGGTTCCCTTACATCTACCTATAAAGAGTACATATTAGTACCATTTGAGTGTACTGGACCAGCGACAAGCGCATTGTGATTGTGAAAAATATTTTTTTATTGATTTCCCATGGATAAGATGCTCTTTTTGTATTCAGTCCTATTTGAAATCATACTACAGGACAGCAACGATCACAATCACAGTGGTAGGTTAAGGTAACAGAATTCACGTATCCTGACAGTAATTGGTGCATGAATGATCGCTTTTAAAGGCTAGACGACGAATTACAAACAATCCAGTCTCCAAGGAGCCCCTTAACAAGAATCAAAAAGGCTTATTAGTGAAAGGGAGCCGAAGTATTTTCAGATAATGAGTAGAGGGCCTAGGGTCTCCAGTGCTGTTCTTTCCACGACCAAAAGTTCTCTGAGAAGTTTAATGGACAATTATGCTGCCCCTGCACACCGAACTGTCCAAGCCTCCATCAGTATCATGATCCTCACGCTATTATTACTGTCACGATTAACGTCTACATCATCATAATCATCATTCTAATGTCTATGTTACTTCAGACTACATTAACAAACTGCCCAGAGACAAAGCCTACACCGGCTCATTAGAAAAATATCAGAAATGTGCACATGGAAAATGCAAAAAAATAAAAATGGTGACGTACAAAACAGTCAGCTCCAATTATCTTTCCAAAAGAATGCTCCGCAGTGCTTCATACAACCGAGAAAGCAACCTGCGTTCAACAAAGATCACGCTGGAGTCGAGTTAATGAGGGCTGACACAAGAGCACCTCTGACTTTCTCTGTGTAATCTCTGCATTTTAACCAGCTCTCCTTCACATTCTCGTCTCTGATTACTGCCTGCTCCATGGACCAGGGTTCAAATCCTTACAATCTCGAAAGCATGCTCGGCAGGTTGAAAATCCTGTCAGGTTAAATGTAGGCTGGGAAAACAGATTCTGAGCTCTTTCAAAGGATTTAAAACAGCAGCACAGGGAGACCTAAAGTGACTGTGAGTAAAACAGAACTTATTTTGCATTAACAATGCCAAGGTCATGGGTTTGATTCCCCAGGAAAGCATAAACTGATAAAAATGCATACCCTGTATGCAAGTTGTTAAAACAAACGAAAAATAAGTTTACTTGCAACGCCTTGTTGCTCCTTCACAATGAGGCAAAAAGTCCCTTTCCAAAACCTTCACTCTCTCTGTTCCTCTTTGGTGGAATGAGCTGCAAACCTCCAATCTAACCGCTGAGACCTAAAGAACACACCTTTTCAGCGAGCACTTAACCACCACAAACCATTAAACCAATGCACTTGCACAGTCACACACAATTTTCTTCTTCTCTAGCTTGCTTCCTAATCTAGTTATCAAATAAACCTGCCATTGTACATTACGGATATTGTTGGCTCTTTAGCGAATTGCTTTTGTTCCTCTTTTGTAAGTCACTTTGAATAAAGGCATTATACATTTTGTATAAATGTATAATGTAAAAGAATTTACATTATACATTTATGCATTTAGCAGGCTAAATGCATAAATGTATAATATAAATTCTTGCTCTACGAGTGTTTGTCGACCACAAGAGCCCACAAAGGATTGTGGGTAGAAGTCATGGCTGTCCTGTGGCCTCAAATTCCCTCCCACAGAATCCTAGAGATATGCTAGGGTCAGGGTTTGTTACTGCACTGTGATTTTTTTTTTCTGCGTAATGCCGGTATGCTGAAATTATTTCGCCCTGTGTTTTTACATGTTAAGCGCTAAATGTTCTTTAAAGCGCAGACCATAAGTGGGGTGAATGAAGCACATCAGCATGTTCTGTAGATGTGTGAAAATACAATTGCTTATGTGAGGTGTTGGGCAATACAACACAGGCCGCTAAACCTGTGTGACACATTTGAACTCTACTGAGAATTTTCTACTTTAAAAACACTATTGGGGAAGTCAAACAACTCTGCTAAACACCTCAAACAGATAGACAACCTCAGCAAACAGCGCTGACAAAACAAGTGGAGAAACACCAACATAAATTAAAGCTTTTCAAACGACACATCAACACCCTTACAACAGTTTATCATGGTTTAACTTTAGTAACAATAGTTGTGCTATTTTCACAGAAATCTCTGTTAGGGGGAGGAGGAAGTCTACTTAATTTTTTATTACAACTGTGATTCTCTGATATTTGGGGGGGGGGGATTTTGGCCTTCAGATATTTCAAGAAATAAGTTATTACGAGCATGATGAACGAAAAACAAATCAGCGAAGGAAAACAAATATTTTTATTAGAAGCAAAGTCAGTTGTGGTCTAGTTAAGGATACAGTCAGAAAATGTTAACTGGTATATATAACTGGATAAATAGATATATACACACTACCATTCAAAAATTTGATTTACATTTCAGTTACATTTACATTGACTTTTACATTGTTACAAACATTTCTATTTCAAATGAATGCTGTTCTTTCTTTTCATCAAAAAAATCCTGAAAAATGTATATTGAGCACCAAATCAGCAAATTAAATTGATTTTTGAAGGATCATGTGACACTAGAGTAATGGCTGCTGGAAATTCAACTTTTTAATATATTAAAATAGAAAACAGTTATTTTAAATTGTAATAATAGTTCAAAATATTACTATTTTAGATCAAATAAATGCAGCATTGGTGAGCATAAAAGACTTCTTTCAAAACCACTAAAAATCATACTAAACTTTTGCATGGTAGTGTATATGAATTTTGTGTTTTTTATGCTATACATTGTGTATTTTGCTATATAAATATGCAAGCAAAATACATGTATTGATTTTTATATAATCTAATAAATGTAATAAAATACAAAATAAGCTTTTTTTGAGAGAAAAGCAGAAGTCAGCCAAGTGCTCTTCTCTGACTCAGCTCTGAGTTACTTTTCCATGGAATCTGAAACCAAGATGCAAAATAGCCTGGCATGTTGTGTTCTCAAAGTTCACACCGGCCCCTGCAGACGCTGAAATACCACCAGACTCTGCTGGAACACTGACAATTTATCTTGACAAAGAAAGTAACTGGATGTTCTTTGGAGACTCTTCCTCCTCTTACGGTTTTGCAGCAGAATTGGCCATCCTTCAGTCAACATTAGCTGGCTCAAATGTTAACAGCTAACACACTCAAAATGACTGCTGGGGTGGACCGAACCTTTCGGGTGTCTCTTGACCAGATTGGATCTTATAAGAACAGCCTTGAAGAATTGACTGTCAGTGATAACTTAGCAAATGTCAAGAAATTATCTTTAGAGTGTCACCGATCTTATCAGTGTCTGGGTGTATTGTTGTAAAGTTCATTTAATGATGGGTGTAGGTTTTATCAAAAGACACACAAAAAGAAAATGTCCCCAGAATTGATTAAATCTAGGCGGTCTTCAAAGCAAGACAATACACAGCTGGCATGAATGTTGGGGAAGTTTCTGAAACTGAAGCTTGCCAAATTGTTAATATAGTAAATTTAATTAATACGTTCAGTAGTTAAACTACTGTTCTTTAAAAAAAATACATATCTATACTATCACAATTTATAATTTTATTAAAAATGAAAAGTTTTTGAAATAAAAAAATCTCAATTAAGGTGACAACATCAAACTTAGATTTACTCTAAGCACAACTAAAAAGTAGTCAAAAAGATAGCAATGAACAAAATTTAAAATACTGTACTTCAGAATTAAATAATAATAAAAAAAAACTTAAAAAATTAATTTTCATAAAAACATTATGCTTTAATTAGGAATTAACAAGAAGACTTAAATCTGTGCAGAAAATGTTTACATTTGTTGCTCATTTACATTAACTGTATAAACAAACTGATTCATTAGAACACATTCTTTCCAACACTTCATATGAGAGAAATTAACTGCTTACTATTAAATGATTTGCTATCAGAAAATTTTCCATCAGAAAGGGGGCTATTTGGTCATGCTACACTGTTACTCATTGAAAAAAGTAGTTTGTTACCAGAAAGGATTTTATTTTAAAAACAACTGAACTGAACTGTCAAACTACTGACAAATGTAGTCGCGCCGCTGTTCGCTGTTAGCTCCCAACACTGGTTGCTAGACTCTTTCCTCTCTTTTACTGTGCAAAAAGGCAATTGCTAAAAAAAACGAAATGCTTAAAAGCAATCACACTGCCAGTTGGTTCGGTAAAATGATTTTCATGACAATCCAAAACCAAATATACCTAATATCTGTGAGAAAGGAATTAAAGAATTAAAGGAAGTGCAGTGTATTTCAGTGTGACAAAGCTGAAAATGCCTATTTTGCATATTGTTGAATATATGCATAAGCCACTTAATTTCCTTTCCACCAGCATTTATTTATGGTTACATATCTGCATAAATAAACCAAGAGCTGGGTCGAAAGTCAAACTTATTCGACCTTGGAGACTATCGCTGTATTGTCCGTGTGTAAAAGTAAAGGTAGTGTCACGACTTCAACTGTCACTGTGCTCTTCTTCTTCCTGTATATTGATACTCTCGTAATGTTCGGTTAAATCTGTGTTTTCCACAAAGACGCACTAAAGGGAAATGTAAGCGTTTAAATCGAATGTCACTCACAAGGTTATTACTTCCCTCCCTTGTGCTTGCCTGAGCATTTACATGATGCTGACCTAAGCTACGAAACACAATATACCACAGAGCATGGAGCACGCTGCTATTTTCAGAGCAGACGCCTCACCAGGGAATATGCGGGACAGTATCTTAGAATCTCTAGCACAAATTAGTCATTTAGACCCCTCCCATTTTCAAAGCCAATTTCCGTCCTTACAGTAGCATGCATTACCCTCTCAGAAAGATAAATTTGGCATGCTAATTCCTAAAGCTCTTGCTGAGATGTGTACACACCAAAGAAGTAATGAATCTTGAACATATCTCTGTAAGTAGGTTAAATTGCTGTTTTTGACTTTTTTTTTTTTTTTTTTTCTTTGACTTTATTTTGAAAATGTACAAATAAAAAGTTTGGTTCCAAAACGCGATAAACGCCATTTTTAAAAAAATTTAGTTTCCGCCAAAATCAGTATTTTTTAGATGAGTCTTTAGTAAAGCAGTTGATGCACATTTAAAATTGAAACTGGTGAAACTCTGGAAAGCAAATGGAAAATGGGTCACAGCAGGATGCCACTGGGATAGGCTGTTAGAAATAAAGTAGTTTACTGGATTTATGCAACGGCAAACACGAAGGACAAATAAATTGCCTCTCACCTGGAAAATCAATAGCAATCAGTGCCATTACTTTTCAAGTTGATCCTTACGGGAATAAGCTGCCAATTTGCCAAAACCAACCATTTAAATGGTTTGTAATAGCAATGAAAGGATGCATAAATTGCTAGCACAGAACATCATGCTCATACCTGTACTGAGGGGAAGGGACTCCTGATGCCTCACAGGTTAAAACAGCCTCCTGCTCAGCAGAATGGATAGGCAGTATCAGATCTTCTGGTTCCTTTTTCCAGCTTGGACCAATAAACTTTGTGTCTTCTGCTTGTGCTGATGAGACTGAGACAGAGAAAATCCATTTGTATTACATTTAATAAAAATACAGTTCAATCATGACAACTCTGAGTGAATGATTTCAACCAGCATTTACTGGCATGAGGAATGTAATGTGCATAAGCTTCATTTTGGTGTACAAGATATGCTACGCTGCTGTTGCTGAGCAATCACAAGAATTTGTTTAGCTTAGTCAAAATAACAAGCAAAAGGACAGGCTGCTGCAAGAAATGGGTAGACCCCATAACAGATCTCTACAGGTGGTTCTGGGGAGGAGGAGGGAAAATATATTCCATTCTTTGATATCAGCATCATACAATGCATTTAAACATTACATTACACCGGGGTTCCCAAACTGGGCTATTAATGTAAGAACTGCACTGTGTTTGTGAGTTGATAAAACGCTATAATAATTAAATCATAAAAATTTTAAATACAAATAATGTAAATACTAAAAATATAAATATTTTATTTGTTTACCTGATTGTCAATGTGACTATTAACCAACATCAGAGAAGTGTAAACATGCGAATGTCTTGATAAATTATTGAAATATAAACTTCCTCATGGATATTTCAAGTAATTATTTTATTTTAAGAAGGTTGGCTGACGAAAACGCACATTTATTTACATGATATTTGTGAATATGCTAAATGATTTGACACACTAGGATTTTTAGAAAGAAAATTTTAAAAGAGAAAAAAGAAGAATTAGGGAGAAATAAATAAATATATATATATATACAGTGGGTACGGAAAGTATTCAGACCCCCTTAAATTTTTCACTCTTTGTTATATTGCAGCCATTTGCTAAAATCATTTGTTAATTTTTTTTCCTCATTAATGTACACACAGCACCCCATATTGACAGACAGACACAGAATTGTTGACATCTTTGCAGATTTATTAAAAAAGAAAAACTGAAAAATGCTCAGTATTTAGTAGAAGCACCCTTTTGATCTAATACAGCCATGAGTCTTTGGGAAAGATGCAACAAGTTTTTCACACATGGATTTGGGGATCCTCTGCCATTCCTCCTTGCAGATCCTCTCCAGTTCTATCAGGTTGGATGGTAAACGTTGGTGGACAGCCATTTTTAGGTCTCTCCAGAGATGCTCAACTGGGTTTAAGTCAGGGCTCTGGCTGGGCCATTCAAGAACAGTCACAGAGTTGTTGTGAAGCCACTCCTTCGTTATTTTAGCTGTGTGCTTAGGGTCATTGTCTTGTTGGAAGGTAAACCTTAGTTCCAGTCTGAGGTCCTGAGCACTCTGGAGAAGGTTTTCGTCCAGGATATCCCTGTACTTGGCCACATTCATCTTTCCCTCGATCGCAACCAGTCGTCCTGTCCCTGCAGCTGAAAAACACCCCCACAGCATGATGCTGCCACCACCATGCTTCACTGTTGGGACTGTATTGGACAGGTGCCTGGTTTTCTCCACACATACCGCTTAGAATTAAGGCCAAAAAGTTCTATCTTGGTCTCATCAGACCAGAGAATCTTATTTCTCACCATCTTGGAGTCCTTCAGGTGTTTTTTTAGCAAACTCCATGCGGGCTTTCATGTGTCTTGAACTGAGGAGAGGCTTCCGTCGGGCCACTCTGCCATAAAGCCCCGACTGGTGGAGGGCTGCAGTGATGGTTGACTTTCTACAGTTGGGTTGTTTTGATTAAGTAAAAATAACTTAAACAAATACAGGTAATTTACAAAATTGAAGTTCTTTGAAAGTATGTTTTTTTTTACATATTAAAAGTTTGTTTTATAGCAAAAGCAGATAACTCCAACAGTCGTTTTTTGGCAAAAGCAGATAACTCCCCATTTCATGTTTTAGAGTTTAAAAAACACTAATTTAATCTTTGTAATCTCCTCAGATGACAATGTAGATGCCTGACAAATGTTGTTGTTGTTGTGATCATAAACTGTATGGATGGGATTACACGCAATACACAGAGCTTTTTCCTCACCATTGTAACACGCTGCTTTTGCAAGGTTCCGTGAAAACGTTTCAGCTTTTATTTTCCTTGATTTTCAGTGCTGGAAATCCATTTATCCTTTGTTGAAGCTTCCGTGTCGTCGTGGAGAGCACAGGTCACGGTTGCTTAGCAACGGCAGACGCCACGAAAGCGCAAGCTCCCGAGCGCTTTGGAAAGAAGGAGAAAGCGGCGCGACTGGTGTTTTCCCATGCGACATGTGAACGGCCCCAAAGTCTGTCTACACTGGATGCGACAAATCGACCATTGGATATCATTTGAACTTTGTGTCAGTACGTCATAAATAGAATGCGGCATCAATTTACTGTCGGGGATTTGTCGTGTCGTGTCGTGCCGCGCCGCATCCAGTGTAGACAGCATTACTGATTATAATGGGTTCATTGTATTTTGTCACGTCACGCCACTCGTGTCCGGAGTAGACACAGTGCGAGCCACGCAGATGCACGTGAACACTGAATTCTGTTCACTTCTGTGTCTATTTGTGCCTGAAATACTGTGCTCTGCAAGTATCCTTGTAAACGCAGTTGCTTATGGCTCAGGTGAAGGGAAACAATTGAGAAAGAAAATGGATGTGTAACAGTATATTGGTTTACAGCAGTTTAATGTTCCTGTTGCTTTC